GCACACACACACATATATATATATATATATATATATATATATTGGATAGTAATTGGATGATTATCCATCGTACGGTAATCAGGTTGGATCATTTTTGGTTTTATTGGACTTTGCAATGCAATCTAAGACTAACCGATCGAATTCAGATGCTGAAATTTTGGATTCGATCCAATCCAGTTATAATTGGATATTTAATCATGATCAGCCGGTTGTAATTGGATCAGAGGACATTCTATACACATCTATTCCCTTGGTTCAAATCTGTCATATCGCTTGTGGCCATAGAGGTTCACCTACAATAACCCATGGTCACCCCCAAATGATTAGTCGGTACACATAAATTAATCCAAATACCAAATAATTAAAAAAAAGTAGTTGAGTAATGCATTTAACATATGACGTTAAATTCTGATGTAGGTTTAGAGGAGAAAAAGACAAGACAAAATAGAAATGATGGAGAATGTTGTTTCCAACCAGACAACTTTTGATTCAAATGTTTACGAGATGATCCATTTTTGAGAAACTTGTTTATACCCCCCATCTCCTATATTTGGTTATTTTTGTATATGTAGTAAAACAGTACCACCCTACTCCTATATTCCTTTTGAATTTTCTATTTTTAATAATACATTCTATTGGTATCTTTAAAAGTAGGTTATATGTGATACCGGTTGAGATTGTCAATAATCAACTTTTTACTCAAATAAAAAAATAATTCAAAAAGAAAAAAGTTAAATAAAAAAAACGGAATTTTCTGATGTTGGAGAAAGTAATTAAGAGTATTTTCAACAGGTTCTCTAAAATAGTGAAAATGAAGTTGTTGTTTTCTATATGGCTCCAAAAGATTCTATATCTTGTTTTCTAAAATAGAGAAACACAGATAAAAGTCCAAATATAGAGAATTTTCTAAAACTTTCACTAGAGGACAAGGATGCATAATTTGAGTTTTTTTATTCATTCCATCATATAAAATTTTAGAATATTTAAATAAAATAATTAGTGGTGAAATCTCTAAAATAGAGAATCTGTTGTTGGAGTTGAATTTAATTCATTTTAAAGATTTTGACTTTCGGTTCTCTAATTTCAGATAAATTATTGAAAAATCTGTTGGAGATGATCTAAACGTTGTGTTCTTGAAACCTTTTTTTTCCGAAGGAAAGAAAAATAAACAGATGGAAATAAGAGGAAAGTAAAAGAAACTCGTGTTCTCGAAACCTTTTTTATAAAGAGAAATAAACGGAAGGAAGGAATTCATAATTTTCCTCCCAAAACTTTCCTTCCAGACGTGAACTAAAATAGAAAGAAAGGAAACGAAAGAAATTATAACAGTTTCAAAGGGTATATTTGGAAGAAAAAAAAACACTCGTTCTTTCTTTTCTTTCATGTTTAAAAACTTGAAAGAAAAAATTCTTCGTTTTCCTTTCCTTCATTTTTCTTCCGTTTCAATAAAACAAATAAAAATAATTAACCACAAAGGTGATGTCTGATTGGTTTGAGCTTGACTCCAAAGATCAAAAATACCTGGAAGTCCCATGTTCAAATCCAAGGAGAAATAAAAATCTTCTTGTGGCCACTGAGGTTCAAATGCGGTGACTCCGAACTATTTGTAAAGCAGGTGGTTGTCCTATAATTATTCGGCTCGCATAGCGGGTTGAATATCTAGGTTAATAAAAAAAAAATTATTTTCCATTTCCTCTTTTTCCTATCCAAATTCGATAAGAGTGCATAATAAGATGATTAGGTGATAAACCGTTTTAATTATATTTTAATTTGAATGTTAGAGAGAGAGAGAGAGAGAAAGAGGTTGCTCTATTTGACCCCCATACCTCCCCTTTTACGTTTCCAACTCATTACTTAGCTCTCTAATTCTCATCTCAACTCCACCCAAATATCCATTCATTCAACCCATTTTGCATCAAAATGATGGGGGTTTTCAAGGATAAGAGAGCCTTGAGAGGATTCAGGACCCTCTTCTTCTTGATAACCATGATTATATCGTTTCTATTCTTCTCTGTTCCCATTCTTTTAGCCGTCTCCGATCTTCTCCTTCCGACTGCTCTGTTATCGGCGTCCCTTTCATCGTCGTTAGACGGTCCAGCTTTCTCCTTCCTCCAGACGCTCTCTTCTCATTTCACCAATTATGATTACAGATACTCGCTTATTGATATCCCTATCATCTCAATAATCAGATCCGCCATCATCCTCTGTATGTTACTTTCCTGCACAACACTTTTTTAGTACAATTGACGAAGAAACCGTGATCTGAACGGATGTTTGCAAATATGTGCAGGTGTATATGGATTCTGCGACGGGCCGGGGCTATCTACGGGTCCGTACTTGGGAATAACGACGGTTTGTTCCGTAGCGTCGTTGTTGTTTGTGTCTATTAAGGCGTCGTATGTGTTCGGCGGCGGGAGTGTTGGTGTTGGAGCGACGGAGGTGGCGTTGTTTGTGTGCTCGCTGGCGTTGGCGATCGGTCACATCGTGGTCGCATATCGAACTAGTTGCAGAGAACGACGGAAGCTTCTGGTTTACAAAATTGATATCGAAGCTGTAAGTCAAAACATTATTTATTTATTTTATTAAATATCATTGTTCAAATATTCATGCACAACGTACAACCCTATGAAGCATATGAAACGCTGGATTTCTTTTTCCAAAAAGTAATTCGAAATTTAAATAACGTTTTAAGATTAATAATCTACAGTTTTTTTTTAAATTAATAAAATTAGGGACCAATGCAACTTGCGTTGGGTGTGGGAACCACTACGGCTTAAACCCTTTTCTGTTCGCCATTTTTGACCATGATTCATTCTTGACATTTTTTAACAAACGTTATAATTTGTAATTAAATAAAATCTAAAGATCACGTGGTGCATCTATTAAATTTGAACATCTTTATAAGTTGGTTATGAGTTTGTTTATAAAATTCAAATGTATTGATAACTTATACGTCTATAATAATAAATTGCATTTACAGGTAAAATGTGGAAAAAAAACTATAAATTACATGATAAACATACAAGCTGATGATTGTGGACGTGATCATCATTAGTTTTTAATTTATCACAACATTATCACAATAAAATCAAATATTTCATGTGATTTGATTTTGCTGTGATAATAATGTCGTAATGTTGTGATAAATCAAAAACCAGTGATAAATTACATTCACAATCGTTTGCTTTATTTACAGTTTTTCTCGTTTTACTCCTTCATGCTTTTGATGTTTCTAAAAAATGGTGAATATTTATTTAATATTACATTTCTTCAACAATCCTTTTAAAATTGTGAATTAAAGCATAATATGATGGTTTTACAGATGTTCTCATATTTGAACAAATCATATGTGTTCTTGTTTGAACTTTTTTTTCTCTCTCTATATATATCAAAAGTGGGTATTAGAAATAAAATACCCATTTTTTGATATAATTTGTTTAATTAAACGACGATAAGTTGAATTTTAATTTGAGATAAGTATGTGAATTTTCAAAATTTGGTCCCTTTCATATGTAAAGGGTAACATGAGTTTTCAAAACTTTTCAAGCTTTAATTTTTATTGTTTATAAAAGATATAAAAATTGGAATCTTATAAACATTTATATGCATTGAGAACTTGTTTATAATGCTTTGACACATTTATAGTGGGTAAAAATGATTGATTGAACAAGTAAATTAACTTGAAAATAGAGTAATATAAGAATATTTCAACAACAAAAACCGATCTAATCTATATCTATACTATCTTATAAACCAAATTTATCAAAAGTCTTAAAAACAATTTTTAATGCATAAAGTACTATACATTTATGCACAAAGTCTTAAAAACAACTCATAATGCATTAAGTACTACTATTTTATGCATTCAATATTAAAATCTCTTAATCTAGAATTAAAATAAATATAATACAAGTTACCAATACACATTATTACATTTTCTTTTTATGTTTTCAAGATATTTTTGACACCTTTTACTCATCTCTTCACATTCTCATACCTCTATGTCTTCTTCCCATCTCCCAAGGTGAGATTCAAACTGATATTCACCATGAATTATTAGAAGTTCTCTCATTCATTTCCTATTCAATTTGCTCTAGAACTCTCGGTTTCGCTCTCGATCTCTTGATTCTTTGGTCTTGGTATAAATCGAACACATTTGTGGAGTCATTTATATATGTTGGATTTTAAATATATTGAATTTTAAACTGTCATACAATTTTTTTATCGATAGACTGTACTTGGAATCATAACTCTTATTTATTCAAATTGTATTAATATGTAAAGACCAAGTGTAACTTATATCATCGTTAACTCTTCTCTAATAAAACCAATGAAATTTCAAAATCGTTAAAATTCACGGTTCCCGCCGCATTGCACTGATACACAACTAGTAAGTTATGTAACAAGAGGTTTTGTATTTGATTCATGTTATGTTATTGTTCATGTTAATCTTCCACAACAATGAAATTTTTCAATTTAAAATTTATAAACATTGTCGTTGAGAGATTCTAAATCATGATTGAAAAAGCATTACAGTATTCGATTCAACTTTCTTTTTTAATTAGGTTGACCTTTGGTGCTAGGACTATAACTATTATTTATTCTTTCTATGATTTATAAATAATATTTTTTTTATTAACCTCGACATCCAACCCGCTATGTGAGTCGACTAATCCCAGGACGACAACCTGCTTTGTGGATAGCTCGAAGTCACCGCATTTGAACCTCCTTGGTCACAAGGGGGTTTTTATTCTTCCTTGAATTTTAACCTGAGATCTCCTGATGCTTTTGATCTTTGGAGTCAAGCTCAAACCAATCAGCCACCACTCTTGTAAATAATATTTTATATTCATAATATGTACTCTAACTTTTGATATAAAACTCATTGGTTTTGCTTTCATTAGACTCCAATAATAGACGAAGGGACCCTCTTAACGTGCCAATTACAACAAATAATGTTGGGGAACGCAAAAAGAATGTCCAAATTGTAGACTTAAATTCAAATTTTCGATTTTGACTTAACATATAACATATTCGGCTTCAAGTGATCGTGTTTTGTGTCCTATAACTTTCCGGTAGTCAGACCCATTGTAAGTTGATAGAGATATACGATTTCGAAATCTTGTTGGTATGATTAGTCATGTAATTAGTGTCGTATAATTTAGTAGTTTTGAATTTGCAATTGCAGGTGTCGACATTCAAGAACGGGTTCAAACGGTACTCCAAGATTCTTCACGACGCAAGAGTCAAAGTGAAACTACAAAACTAAAGAGAAAAAAAGGACACAACAGTTCTCATCTTATTCTTACCAAATGGGATGGAGTTAAAACACTATTTCAGTGGTGACCCCAAGCTCCCCACATCCAAGTTGCAGGTACCATCCCATTAAGGATCATGAACTTGTACAGTACAAATCAATGATGCATCAAGAATCAAACTGTTGTTACACTGAATCCTCATGCACCATGAGGTTGTACCATACATACAATTTAGTGTATGAAAATGTGTCTGAAATCATGATGCAACATGAAGTTGCACCGCACAAGTGAAAATGAGAATGTGATTAAACCCCACATGCATAATTGAATTGTACATGTCTGTCTGCAAAAAAATCTAAAACGAATCTCTCTTTCCTATTCCCTGTCCTTTTATTGAACCAATTTAATTTCAGTCGTGACCATGTGCATATGCTACCCCATAACCATCTTGCTATCTGCTATTTTCTCCTTAACTTGTAAGATATAGTCCAGATAGCGAGATGTTTATGGACCCATTTCCAATTATCAAAACTACATCGTTTTTTCGTTGTTGCAGGTCATCCGAAGGAGAACGGTAACGAGGAATGTATGTAAACTATGGAGTTATGAAGAATTATTTTTGGGGGTACAAGTGTGGGGTTTGATGAGTGTCTCACAATTTTTGTGTGTGTGTGTGTATGTTGATGGTGTTAACAAGCTTGTTTTAGAAATGCAAAAAGAAAGAAGGCAGAATTAGGTGAGTAGATAGAAAAGAAAAGGAAAATAGAATAATGGTATGGTACAAGTTTTTATGCAGGAGTTACAAACATGGTGATGGAAGTGGGTCAGAAAAGGCATGAGGCCTTGTCGCGAGAGGGAGAGGGAATCATGGGGGGCCTACTCTTTTTGCTTCTTGGCGCTTCCTGTTTTTCTTTTTATTTATGGTAGTTACCGTCCCCAAAGCTACAACCATTTTTGTATACGAATTACTTTTTTTACGTTATATCAATATTATATATATATATATATATATAACCCTAATCAAATGAAATTCAATTTCATCACTAATAATTTTAGTAATTTTAACTTAAAATATTAATTAAGAGCATTTTAGGGATTTTATAAATATCTCCTTTCATCTCTCATCTTTCCTCTCTCCGGCGAATCTTATTCGGCGAACATTATTCTGATGAATCTTATATGAACACAAGATACACATTGTGATACTTACAAACGATATGTGATACTCAGATATAAATACAAGATGCACAATTTGATATCTTTTATAAAACAATGAAAATAACGAAAATGCATAGAAATGCATAGGGCCATCCCTGGGGGGAGAGCGACATAGGTGCACGTCCAGAGCCCAAAAATATCAGGGGCCCAAAATATTCCCTTAAAATACAATAGTAGTCTAAATTTTTTTAATAAATTAAATAACCAAAAAATTGTAGAATATAATAAGAGGTAAAAAGAATTTAGTAATAATAAATGCCCAAAAATATATCAACTAATAACATTGGAGACAAAAAAAAATTTAATTGGTCATTCATTATATGTTATTGTTTATCGCCTCTCTAATCTGTTTTTTTTTTATCTCCAATAAGGTCCAATGATATTGGTTATTGATATCTCTATATGCTTAACTGTTTCGTGTTTCAACAATTCAACGTTAAGATCATGTGCTTGTTAAAATTATTTATTTTTAGCATTTCTTGTATATTTTTAGCATTTCTTGTACTCAATTTTGTAATAATGAAAAAACATTTATTGAATTCTTTTTCGTAATTATCAAGGTTCACTACAAAAAAAAAAATAAGTTTTGACGATGCGTCTTTTAGCAATGACATGTTTCCGCCACAAGTTATAGCGACGATATGTTGTTATATACTCTTTCTGATGATAAATAGACTTTTAGCTACTACAAAAGTCGTTGCTAAAATTCTTGTTTTTTCTTACAGTGAGCCTCGTTTTTACGTTCGCACAGGGCCTATAAAATGTCAGGTACGGGCCTGATGATACATTTCATAAAACAAAAAAAATACATTGTAATACACGTGAAACATTGTGAATGTTATCACTATAATACACTTTGATATACAAACGTCTTTAAAATACGATGCATATTAGGTAATTGATATATTAGGTAACTAATTTTAATTAAATATTTTCCAAAAAAGTTTAATTAAATATTTTGATTAGTTTCAAAAATTGAATTAATATATTACTATTTTAGGTTATTTAAGAAATATCCTTAAATATCTTAAACGAGTGGTTTACATTAGATTTCACGATTACCACAAACTAATCAGTTATATTTTGAATGAGCTCCAATATAGGGGCCCATTCAAGAAATAACTGATTAGTTTGTGGTAACCGTTAGGTATAATGTGAACCAGTCGTTTGAAATATTTACAGATATTTTTTAAATAAGTTAAAAGCATAATATAGTAATTCTATTTTTGACAACTAATCAAAATATTTTAGAAAAAAATATTTGATTAAAATTATTTACCAAGTATATCAATTACCTAATATAAATCGTATTTTAAATACATTTGTGAATCAAAGTATATTATAGTGATAACGTTCACAATATTTCACGTGTATCACAATGTATTTTATTTGTTTTATAAAATGTATCATAACATGCATTTTCATTATTTTCATTGTTTTTACAACGAATATCACATTGTGCATCATGTATGTATGTCTAGGTATCAAAGTGAATACCGTTTGTAAGTATCACAGTGTTTATCTTGTGTTCACATAAGGTTAATCGGAATAAGGTTCGCCGAATAAGATTAGCAGGAGAGAGGAAAGAGAAGATATGAGAGATGATATTTTTAAAATCCCTAAAATATCCTTTATTAATATTTTAAGTTAAAATTACCAAAATTATTAATTTTATAATTTAACATTTGATTTGCGGTTGAAATTAAATCTCACGGTTAACACAAACAAAACAATTCTTATTTGATTAGGCCCCTATGTATGTGTGTGTATTCATATTTTAAATGAATGCCAAATTCATGTTTAAACCACATATATTGTTAAAATTTCTATCAATCAGATTTTGATTGTTACGTTTATATAAAAATATATCAAATAAACATAGTTTAAATAGAAATGTATCAAATAATACTTGATGATTCAAAAGTCAAAGCATTTGAATCCGTACAACATGAGACAATATTTTAAATGGAAATAGTTGTCACAAAATAGCTGATCCAACATAGAAATTGAAATAACATCGATTTCACGAGACTTTGAAAAGCTTCAAAACAATCAACGTCTTCTTCACATATCAAAAATTGCCTCTTCCATATCTTCATCCATCTCAAACCGTTAATATTAGAATACTTACAGGTCTGTGTTGCACTTCAGCGACAGGATCGGAGCCCATTCAGACTATAAAACCTTCGTACCGTTCCTCCTTTAGACTCGATGACGTATTTGAACACAAACTCTTGAGCATCCAAAGACAACTTAACATTTTCATAACAATCCATCCATACATGTTTACCTGAAAACCCTTGAAGAGGATAATCATGAAAAATCTCATCCCTTGATTTTCTCCCCCATCTAAGACATGGTTTTTTCTGTTCTTCCATTACCCTGAATCCCCTTGTTTTTGTTAGGCAAACACATTGATTCCTTATAGTTTGAGAACGGATCGCTTACAAACCGTCATATTAGTACAAACTTTGCAAATTAATCTCGACCATCCATCTAACCGAATGAATATCTTGGTTGTTTTATAATATAAAGCGTTGATCATGATAAATGAACAATGATAATCTTCCGTAAATATCCAAATGGTAATAAATAAACCCTCTTCATTTCATAAAATTTTCAATTAACTGCTTTGTACCAATGGTTGAGTTCGTAAATGGGTCATCTATGTGTGTGTGCTTGTACACGCACACACTTATGTGTTAAAAACAACTAAAAATCGGATTCCATCTTCCTGTATTGTTGTGGGGGAGAAAACATCTCTCTTAAAGTGGTCAAGAATTCCAATAGATATTTGAATTTTGAAATCAAGAGTTGCTTATTATATTTATTTGTTTGGATATTTTGTTTTATTAAAATAGATATTTAATTTAAAATTATAAATTATATATGTTTTTTAAGTTTAATTTTTAGAGCCACAAAAGGCTCAAACCGACTAAATCGGTTAGACCAGACCGTTTTTTTGTCCGATCTAGGCACTTGTTGTCAAATCCCTCGTTTTTAAAATTTTGTAAACCGTTATCACGATTTGATTTGTGATATGAGGGTTTAAACCGTCCAAACCGGACTGTAAACACCCCTAGTTGAGAGAAGACAAAGAAAATAGGCAGCTAGAAGAAATCAATGATCAGATCATCTTCACCTTCAATCATCAAAATTCAACTATGATTTCATGTAATCACTTACTTCAAATCAGTTTGTTCTTAGAGGTTTAAGAAACAAAATGACCAAACTTGACAAAAGAAAATTAAAATATAAATGTAACATCTCACTCAAGAAACCCCAAGTTACCAATTTTTATAAAATCTCCAATAAAATATAATTTATTGATTGATAGAACCAAAATTGATCTTAATTATTCTAAAAGTTTTATCAAAACAATCGGGGTCAAGGATGGAAAATCTGAAGATGCTGTTGAAACGACTAAATCTGGAGGAAAACCAGAGCCCCTATGGACGGACCAGAGCCTATGAATGGTCCAGAGGCTATGAAATGGACCAGAGGCAGACGATGAGATGGACCAGAGGCAGGCGATGAGATGGTCCAGAGGCAGGCGATGAGATGGTCCAGAGGCAGGCGATGAAATGGACCAGAGGCAGGCGATGAAATGGTCCAGAGGCAGACGATGAAATGGACCAGAGGTAGGCGATGAAATGGACCAGAGGCAGACAATGAAATTGCTTATCATTGATTAACCTCAAAATATGAGATATTAATTTTCTAGAAAAACTTCGAAATATCCGTTCTATTTTAGTGATAAAACCACCCTAAACATAATTCCAAACCGGATATAACGGATTTTTTACTTACAACCCAAATTAAGTAGCAAAAGAATACGGGGCATATTTATAACCGGAATAAGACTATATATAAGCTACACTACTACAACTATGAGATACGAAAATAAGTTACTATTTACCAAAAGCAAGTTCGTAATCTTCAAGTTCCCCGATAATCTTCAAGTCAAACAACGAGTTCTTTCTTTTTATCCGACTTCTTTCCTGAGAGAGGTTGCCACTTAAATGGTAACCAACGCTTAGTGAGTTAAATAGTTAAGTATTACATATCAATATTGCACATGTTTATAAACATACATAATAAACTCTTATCAATAAAAGAGTTCAAGACATCATCTACATGCAAACCGAAACTTACAAGAAACCGAGTGAACAATTACGTACCGAATGCTAAGATCATACAATTTCATATTCAAATCACCATACCAATTATGTTCAATACAACAAGGAAACAAGATCAACAACCCAATATATTCAACAACCGTTACAATACCAATAAATATTAAGAACTAAGAGATCGAATTGGTAATCATAACGAAGACAGTGCATCACCCCGTCCTTCACCTTCCGGGCTCATGCCAAAGTCCGAGTCAGAACCGTACATTACGGGAAACCTCTCACTGCCCGCCTTCCTCTACCGGGTATGTGCCCAGGTTCCCTACTCATTGTTCTTCCTCCTTTCTAAGCAATGAGTATTCACAACCGCAAAAAGTTTCACCCGTCCAACCCGGGATCTTGACTTCGCCATAAACTTCCGGCATGCCACACGAAGTAGTACCCGTACTACGGCGTACAATTCAAGGAACAAAACAACAAAGCCGGATCCAGAAAGCAAACCGATGTATCGAGATAGTAATATGGAATAGATCAAGAGACGGAATCAAAGACAAGTCAAGATTGTGTGACTTAATTCAAGACCAAAAACATTC